GGCTAATGTTAGGCAACAGCCATTAGTGGTTGAGCCTACAGTTGATAGAATGCATGCTAAAGGCAAGAGGCCCTTATATGAGTCCAGGTCACCTAACTATTACAGAATGGAGAGTAGTCATTCTGAAAGAAGATTGGAGAAGAGTTCAGGTTTTAGGATCAAAGCCAGAGATTGGCCCCCTAGACTAGCTTCACGGAGGATAGAAAATGATCACTATCATCGAAGGCCCAAATCAGGCTCAAAGCTTGAGGTCAAGTCCAAGCAATTGCCTTCACAGCCAGCTTTGAAGGTGACCTCGAAGGAAGAAAAGGGCAGCTCAACATCTGGGTCAGTAAGTTCATGGGTACCTGGAGTTCCAAATTGGTTTGTGATGCAGAACAAACCTAGGGAAGTGCCTACCCAAATGAATGTTGGAAATCAAGGTAGGATGGTTAAGCCTCCATTGGTAGCCCCCAACAACTGGGTATTGCTGAAACACCCAAGAACGAAGGAACCAGATATGGTCCCCGTTATTTCCAGATCACAAGGGAGGAAAATTCAGCTTAGGTACACCCAATACCAGCAAGACCTGAAAGAAAGTGGAGAGAGTTCTTCATTGATTTAGACTGAAGGAAAGAAGAATCCAAAGTCAGACCATACTCCAAAGCCAGCCCTACAAAGCAAGGTGAGTTACAGCAGAGAACAGTTGGTTAAGGTCCATTCTGAACTAAAAGTCAGAGAGAAGGTTAGCCTAGCAGGATTGGAGAAAGCTCTGATGGAGAGTGGTAGCGAGACAGAAGAAGAAATTGGCATGAGCCAAAAGAAAGAAATGGTGGAAGAAGAAATGTTCGAAGCCTTCATGGCCGAGCAAACATTTTTGGTTGAAAAACCAGTCGAGGGAAACCATTCGAAGGAACTTGTTAGCAATAAAGTACCAGAATGCAACATGCAGGATGCTTCTGAGGTAACTGACCAAGGTAGCCAAGAGGGGAAACAGGTACAGCCAGTCATCTAGTTTGGCTCGTTTCCTCCAGTATCAATAAACATGGTACACATACCACCGCATGAATTCCAAGCTGGAGATGAGAATCAAGGAATTAAGAGGGGCAAGAAATTGACCCAATTCCAATCTCTAGTGAAGACTCACAAGCGAGTATGGTACAAGATAATTTCGGAATGGTTACCCCAATGGAAACTAAGTATGAGATTGAAGAAGTGGTAAGTATTAACCTCTTGTATCCTTTTGAATATGCCTCGAATTCTATGACACAGCATGTTAAGCCTTTGTATATTAAGGCCTTCTTCGATGGGATACAGTTAAACCGAGTCTTAGTGGAAAATGGGGCAGCGGTGAACTTACTACCGAAATCTTCCTTGAAGAAATTAGGGAAAAAGAATCCCAGGTTGATCCCAACTAGTACAACTATTGCTGGTTTTGTTGGGGACTAACAGATGGCCCAGGGAATTCTACCCATCAACCTGAGTATGGGAACCAGGGACTGCATAACGGCGTTTTTCGTCATCGACAGCAATGCGAAGTACAATGCTTTACTTGGTAGAGATTGGATCCACACTAACAAATGTGTGCCTTCCTCTTTACATCAGAAAATGATAATGGCTCTAGGCAATGGGGAGACGGAGGAAATTGATGCAGATCCTCAACCTTTCATAGCCTGCGCAGACTTTGCAGAAGCCAAACTGTATATTGAGGGAGTGACACCGCTCAGTATACTGATGAAATCTGATGGCTCAGCCGAAGTAACGGCTGATGAGGAAGTGACACACCTGAAGCACTTAGTCCAGGAGAGTGCTGATGAAGAGGTGGTCGTTAAAGATGACAATGATGCCTGGTTATAGGCAACAAGGTTAAGCACCAGAAGCCAAGTCTTTGGCTTTAATTAAGTTTTCAATATTCACTCTAACTTACATCCTCATCCAAGGAAATGATTTAAAAGAGGACTCAACAAGAGAGAATAATTCAAGCAAAACGCACACATACCTTGAGTCTTTAATTCTACAATCCTCCACAAGCTCCCAACCTTATTTCTTAATGAAAAATATTTTTTTGTGGCCCATTTTTTTTTTTTTTTTTGTTATTAAAGACCAGGAACTAATTTTTTGTGGTAGAGGAGAGGGAACGGCAATAGTGGTGAAGGTGGTGGATAAGAGGTGGTGGTGGTGACGGCGGTGATGGTGAAAGAGATTAGTGGTGAAGTTGTGGTAGTGGTAGAAGAGATAGAGTGGCAGTGGTAAAGGAGAGGTAATGGCAGTAGTAGTGACAATAGTGGTAGTGGTGGTAGTGGTAGTGGTAGTAGAGTTGTGGCAATGTTGGTAGTAATGGTAGTTGTAGAGGTCGAGTGGCAACAGTAGTAGTGGTGGTGGTAGTGGAATGGCATTTGTAGTAGTGGTAAAAGTGGTAAAGGAGATGAGTGGTGAGAGAGAGAGAAATGAGTGAGCAACAGATAGAGAAGAGAGATAGACAAAGACAGAGTGATGAGCAAGAGAGAATGATTAACGGCATATACAAAGTTAACAATTGACGGTTAATACCAGTTGTGGGGAATGGTGTGATATGTAAAGACTGTACGGAATTAAGGGTTGACTGTTAACACCGGTTGTTTAGGGTGAGCCCTGGTTTTGAGAATTTTCACGTAAATTGTGTTGTGAAACTCTAAGATGGCACGGGACTTATTTGAACCCTTTTCGGTATTTGGTTTTGGAATAAGGGTGGATGTGCTGGTGGCACACAGGGAGGTTACGTACCCCTGGCAGACCGTTTCCTTGGGGCAGACCACGGATGCCACTACTTGGGTATATAACTCCGGACGTGGGCATCCCTGGTAGTTACGGTTGGTAACACTTGAATATTTGACCAAGGGAGGGTTTCAAATTAACCGTTGCCATGCTTAGTGGTCGGTAAGTTCAATCTCTTTGGTGAGATTTCGAGTGTCACTTAATTTATTAAAATTATTGAAATTATTTTAATGGTTGTAATTTATGCTTACAATTATATTGTCATCTCATGTTTATAATCTCATTAATTTTTCTCTTAAAAAGAATGGTAGGTTGGTTATGTTTTCTTACTGTGTTGCAAAACTCATGGCATATATTTTTGTTGCCCTGGCGTTTTATGCCAGGTCTTGGCAAGAGAATAAGTGAAGCTGAAATGGAGTCAATGCTAACGTAGAGCCTTGGCTGACCTGAAACCCCGAGTAGAGCCGAATAAATTATATTATTTTATATAGTAGCTATTAAGGACTTTATAATTTCATTTGAGGTTGTATTTGGATAATTTTAAGTTTTTATCTATTGTTATTTGGACATTTGGTTATGTGCGAGAGTTGGATTACCCTATTAAGTTATCAACTTTTTGATTTATTAAGTCATTTTGTTTATTTAATTTCCCTTGATATTAAAAAAAAATTTGGGGCGTCACACTATTTTAGTCCACAATCATCTTCCCAAGCAAGGCCAATATTGTAAATGACAAAAATAACTCAACTTGACTTTTTTATTTAATCTAATTAAAACAAACTTCATTTATATTTGATAATTTTTTTACATATCAAACCTAACTCTTCATTTAACCTGGGAAGAGTTTTATATGTTTATTAATTTTGGATTGAAAAGAATAAAAGTTTTTTTAAAAAATTTGATTAGCAATTATGTTAACTTATTTTTCATAGCAAAATAATTTTTTATTTGGAGTATTTATTTTTTAAAATATTTGTTCAAAAAAGAAGAAGAAATTTTAACCATTTTGTTGAGGCTAAACAAAAAATAAATTCATGAAGTAAAAGAAATTAAAGGGTCAGCTCATATTCTCACACTGCTGGAAATTAGGTTTTTAGTGGCGTTTAAAAAACGCCGCTATAGCTATCAAAAACGCCGCTAATTATTTTCGTGACGTTTAATACCAAACGTCGAAGATGCGGCCGTCGCTATAACTTTATGACACTTTCAAAACGTCGCTAAAAAACGCCGCTAAATATGCTGCATAACGGTACAATGACGTCATGCAATATTTAGCGATGTTTTGAAAACGTCGTAGTAGATCTTTTTTATTTTAAAAATATTACCATTGACATCATCTATAGTGACGTTTTGAAAACGCCGTCATAGCTTCAATTTTTTTTTTTTTTAAATTGTGCTAATTCTATGAAATTTAACGAAAACAAATTACCTGTAATAAAGATGAAAAATATTCAATATATTAACTAAATTTAGGTAAACATAATACTAGATCAATTCATGCTTCTCAATATACAAAAATATTTCAATTTCAAGATGAAATAAAGTTAAACTAGTGCCTAGTGATAAGTTGAAAGTTATTACAAAACAAATCAACACAAAAAAAAAAGATCAATCATGTACCCTTTACAGCTCGGCACAAAAAAAATCAAGATATTTAAATTGCATGGATGAATGTCGAGCATAAAAAGAAGGGGGGGGGAATCAACTGTATGCTATACAAAGATATTTAAATTGCATGGATGAATGTCTAGCATAAAAAGAAGGGGGGGAGGAAATCAACCGTATGCTATACAACACAATTGCAAGACCAATCATGTACTCTTTACAGCACTGGGAAGCAAGTTGAAGGCTTCATCCTCTTCTTCCAACTTCTTTTCCTGTTGACAAAAAAAAAATCCCAAGACTTAGTAAGTACTGATGGTGATAAAATAGTATCCAAATTCACATGTTTTGAGTTCCTATGCTGCCTTGAAAAATTCACACTGCAACTATGATGTGGTCAAATAGCTATACCTCTGGATGATTTGTTATGACATCAATTGGTCCAACAGTTTAAAGTATAAAAAAACTGAAGCTCAAATTCCAGCAAAATTATAGTTTGCTTTTGAATTTGAGCCCTATCAAATTCTCGTCAGATTAATACAGCCAGTGCCTAGCCTTAACACTGAACAGATTTTAGGTAGGCATGCCAAACCAGCCATTTAACTAATTTATTTGAAAAGAAGAAAAATAGACATTCAAAGACTTTAATATATATATATATATATATATATCTAGAACTTATTACTTGTGTTAATTTTCAGTTCAATGAGTTAAGGAGGCAACCTGAATCAAAACCTATTATGTTCAAAAGTGAGTAGAAGATTACATGAATGCAGCCCATCCAAAAAAAAGGTCAAACTACATGCTTACTTCAGGCAGTTCTGCAGGTATAAAATAGTATTGCCAGCTAAACATAAATTCAATCCCACAATAGATACTGCTACTGCCATTCACATAAATCTAGTACATCACAAAAGTGACCAAAATGGCAATTCGGCTTCATTGTTCAACGCCTACACAAAATGCATTTACACCCAAAAGGTTGAAATAATGAACTAGCATAAATGACCTTACCTTTTCCTCAACTGAGTGCTGCAAGATCTCCAGCATTGCATCTACACTGATAGTTGCTTGTCTTGACTGAAAAAGCAGAAAGAAGACTTGTTTTAGTATGCTAAGATTTTCAGCAGAATATTCAATCAACAAGCTGTTCTTTCTCTAAGCCCCCAAAGTTGACTTTATTCTAGGAAAATCAATTCACTGTGATGGAAGCATACCTTCTCACATCAAGAGCAACAAACGGAATAAGCCATTCTGAAAGAAGCTGTGCAATGATCCGAAAGAAACACAGCATAACTACTCTTAGACAAAACATGATAAACATACATCCATACATAAACTGCTATCTTTTTTTTCCTTTTTTTCCTTTTTTTGGGGGGAGGGGGGTAAGAGTCCATAAATAAACTACATTAATAATAGATCCACCATAACAAATGATTTGAGGGGCACTTACCAATCAGTCCTATTAAAAGAAAGGGACTCGTTCGACAAAATTTTCTGCATGATCAAAAGATCCTCTCTAAAACTGCATCATCCAAAAGGGATGGTCAAATGGTCTTAAATTTTGAGCAAGAAACGAGGTCACAATAGCACCTGAGAATATACATTTTAAGTATCATGTAATGTAATGATCTTGTTTGTTATTCACATTAAATTAATACAAATATAAATTGATGAATGGAAGTTTAACGGCAATTCAGCAGTTTGTCATATGTAGCAAAAGACTATCAGCTATTTTCAAAATGACGTATGCATCTTTGAAATGTAAATCGATCAAGAAAATGAAGGAAATTGAAAGAATTACAAAGCAAATACTCACAATTTCTCCGTGTAGGTCAAATTTCCTAGAATAGGAGGGATAGGTCCACTCCACCAAATCCTGTGTTTGTTCCTCCAGTAGTGGTTCAGCAAGCACAAAATATGGTCCCTAGGGACCAAATTGCTAACATCGTTAGGGAGATGTGTGGACCGATGGCTCGGGGGGTCCAGACTCCTGTATATAGAAAACCATATCCAGAATGGGTAGATAGGGTACATGAATACCCAAGAGGTTTCAGGATACCAGATTTCGCCCTTTTCTATGGGAGTGGAAACCAATCAACAGTAGAGCATATTGCTAGGTTTGTTGCCCAATGCGGTGAATTTGCTAATAATGACTATATGAAGCTAAGACTGTTCCCAAATTCTCTAACTGGAGGAGCATTTGTGTGGTACATTAACTTTACACCTGGCTCAATCCAAACTTGGCAACAAATGAAAGAGGCATTTCATGCCCAATTCTTCCAATCAGAGCCAGAGGTTTCTATGGCGGACCTGGTAAGATTGAGTCAAAGGCCTGAAGAGCCAGATTTAAAAGGACTCGAAATAAATGTAGAGTCATCTTGCCAGAGCCAAAATTCATAAGATTGGCTCAAAATGGCTTAGAGTTTAGGCTTCGAAAGAAGTTTGACTCAACAGAGTTCAGGGACTTAGTGGAACTGACTTATAAGGTATCTAGGTATGAAGCATTACCAGAAGAGGAACAAGATCGAAATAATGCATCATACAAGACATACTACAAAGATTCTAACTATGAGATTGATGCAGCAGAGATTGTGGGGAAAGAACCTGTGATCTGTGAAGCATTAATTCATAAGGATATAACAATTGATCAACAGTTTAAAAAGAAAGACCTTCACAGGAAATACTCTTTCGATTTAACTAAGGCAGATGACATTTTTGATCATTTGCTCGCAGCCAACTTCCTTAAGTTACCAAAATGGGTTAAAATTCCATCTCTGGATGAACTTAAAGGAAAAATATATTGTAAATGGCATAATTCTTGGTTTCACTCGACTAAAAACTGTGTTGTTTTTCGAGACCGGATTCAAGAACAAATTCGGAAAGAAAGTTTGAAATTCCCAGCCAAAGCTGAAAAGGCCATGGGGATCGACAGTAATCCATTTCCAGAAATTGGAGAGGTGGCAGCCAATGTCATTATGCCGGATTTTCAGAACCTGTCTTTGAAAGAATTGAAAGAAGTCAATGCGCAGATGCATGTGGCCAACCAAACAGCTATCAAAAAAGACACTGAAAATCTACTAGCTATTGGACAAGGTTTCTCACACCAGAGGAAAGACTCTGAGGAAGAAGCACTGGATGACGATTCCTTAGAAGCAGCTGTAATGCAGAGGATGTGTCCTAGGTGCAGACTAAGCTACAAGTGATTGAAAGGACTTTCGATTGATTGGAAACAATACTACAAAGATGTGCAGAGACGTCCTGAACCAACCAATGCTTACAATAAAATGTCATATCCATCTGGTGTCATGCAGCAACCATTGAGGGTTGAACCAACAGTTGATAGGATGCATTCCAAAGGCAAGAGGCCTTTACATGAATCCAGGCCAACTAATTATTACAGAATGGAGAGCAGTCATTCTGAGAGGAGATTGGAGAGAGGTTCAGTTTATGGGATCAAAGCCAGAGATTGGCCCCCTAGACCAGCCTCACGCAGGACAGAAAGTGGACACCTTCATCGAAGGCCTGAGTTAGGCCTAAAGCATGAAGTCAGGACCAAGCAGTGGCCTTCGCAGCTAGCTTCGAAGATGACTTCGAAAGAGGAAAGAAGCAGTTCAACGGCAGGGTCACTAGGTTCGTGGGTACCTGGGGTCCCAGATTGGTTTGTGATTCAGAATAAACCTAGGGAAGTGTTTACCCAAAGAGATGTAATTAGAAACCAAGGCAGGATGGTTAAGCCTCCTTTGGTGGCTCCAAACAATTGGGTGTTGCTTAAGCACCCAAAAACAAAGGAACCATATATGGTCCTTGTAATTTCTAGATCATAAAGGAGAAAAATTCAACGTAGGTATACTCAGTACCAGCGAGACCTGAAAGAGAATGGAGAGAGTTCTTCATTGGTACAAACAGAAGGAAAAAAGAATCCAAAGTCCGACCATACTCCAAAACCAACTCTATAAGGCAAAATGGGTTGCAACAGAGAACAGTTGGCCAAAGTTCACTCTGAACTTAAAGCCAGAGAGAAGTCCAGTTTAGCGGGATTGGAGAAGACATTGATAGAAAGTGACAGCGAGGCAGAGACAGAAGTTGGGCTAGACCAAAAGAAAGAAGTGGTTGAGGAAGAAATGTTCGAAGCCTTCATGGCTGAACAAACATTTCTAGTTGAAAAACCAGTCGTGATAGACCATTCAAAGGATGAAATACCAGAGAGCAGCATGAAGGATGCTTTTGGAGTAACTGAACAAGGTGGCCAAAAGGAGAAGCAGACACAGCCAGCCATCTAATTTGGCTTAGTGTCAGTGAACATGGTACACATACTACCGCATGAATTCCAAGCTGGAGATGAAAATCAAGAGGGGCAAGAAATTGACCCAATTCCAATCTCTAGCGAAAACTCACAAGCGAGTATAGTGCAAGATAATTCTGGAATGGTTACCCCAATGGAAACTGAATATGAGAGTGAAGAAGTGATAAGTATTAACCTCTCGTATCCTTTTGAATATCCCTCGAATTCTATGACACAGCATGTTAAGCCTTTGTATATTAAGGCCTTCTTCGATGGGATACAGTTGAACCAAGTCTTGGTGGATAATGGGGCAGCAGTGAACTTACTACCGAAATCTTCCTTGAAGATATTAGGGAAAAGGAATCCCAGGTTAATCCCAACCAGTACAACCATTGCTGGTTTTGCTGGGGACAAACAGATGGCCCAGGAAATTCTACCCATCAACCTGAGCGTGGGAACCAGGGACTGCATGACGGCGTTCTTCGTCATCGACAGTAATGCTAAGTACAATGCTTTACTTGGTAGAGATTAGATCCACAGTAACAAATGTGTGCCTTCCTCTTTGCATTAGAAAATAATGATGGCCCTAGGCACTAGAGAGACAGAGGAAATTGATGCAGATCCTTAACCTTTCATAGCTTGCACAGACTTCGCAGAGGCCACGTTGTATATTGAGGGAGTGACACCACTTAGTATACTGAGGAAATCTGATGGCTCAGTCGAAGTGACGGCTGATGAGGAAGTGACACACCTGAAGCACTTAGTCCAGGAGAGTGCTGATGAAGAGGTGGTCGTTAAAGATGACAACGATGACTGGTTGTAGGCAGCAAGATGAAGCACTAGAAGCCAAGTCTTTGGCTTTAATTAAGTTCTCAATATTGGATGTAAAGTCAATAGTTCAGAAAGTGCAGGAGCAAGAGAAAGAAGTCATGATAATTGGCTACAAGCAAGAGCAGTAACAAGCTAGAGTTTTGGCCCTTGATAAATACTGTGCATTGGACATAGAAACAAAAGTCCAGGAAATACAGGAAGAAGAAGTCTTGTGGACAGACTTTGTCTATGAAGAGGAGGGTAAAAAGGTTGAATCAAAGAACTTGGGAACAGAACACAGCAAGGAGATTGCTTCGAAGCTAGAAGGAATCAAAGAAGGAGCTCTAGTAAGTTCTCAGATACAAGACCCCTTAGAAGAAATAAATTTAGGGGAAGGTTCTGTACAACAACCCATTTATATAAGTGCTTGGTTAAATACTCTTGACAGGAACTAGTTGTTGGTTATTCTGAGGAGATATAAAGATTGTTTCACATGGTCTTATAATGAACTACCAGGATTGGATAGGTCATTAGTGGAACATAGGCTCCCTATGAAGCCTAACTTCAAGCCATACAAGCAAAAACCAAGAAGAATGGGTCCAGAAGTGCTTCAGAAAGTTAAAGAAGAAATTCGTAGACTACTAAAGGCAGGCTTTATTAGGACAGCCAGGTATGTTGAATGGCTATCTAATATTGTGCCTGTAGTTAAGAAGAATGGTAAAATGAGGGTATGCATTAATTTTAGAAGCTTAAATCTAGTAACTCCAAAAGATGAGTATCCTATGCCTACAGTAGATTTGCTGGTAGACAGTTTAGCAGGGCATCAAATTTTATCAATGATGGATAGGCACTCTGGTTATAACCAAATCTACATTGGGGAGGAGGATGTTCACAAAACAGCATTCAGATGTCCTGGAAATATTGGCACCTTCGAATGGGTTAAAATGCCATTTGGCCTGAAGAATGTTGGGGC